GCAGGTGGTGCCAGACCTGATGCAGGATCCAGGGCAGGGGCTCCTGGCTACTGTAGGTGGCTCAAGATCTCTTCCCAGGCCAAGGCAGAGGCCTGCTGCTGGGCAGTGGGTGGCTGCCAGGAGGCAGGTGGGGCTCGGGTCAGGGATTAGGCAGTAGGCAGCATGAAGTTGACTGCCAGGGCCAGAACGGTGTCCAACACCTAGTGGTTGTCTTCTGTGGCCTGCACTGTCTGGTCCAGGATGGTGTTCTTCTCCTAAAGTACCTCTACCTGCTCATATTCCAGGGCCAGGAGCTTAACCTGGAACTCTCTGTCTGCCCGGTCCTGCACCTCCTCGTGCTGGTCCCATGCCTCCTCTCCCTGGTCCCAGGTGTCTTTGCAGGTCATAACCTCCACCCACCACCTGTCCTGTAACAAAGAGCTGCCCATGGCCCTGCCCTCCCTTCAGGGATCTTCTCCAGAAAGAAACACCAGCGCCAGTCCCCCACCCCCTCCGCAATGCTGCTGCACCCCAGGCCAGCCTCCCCCTAAACAGGCTGCTCTAGGGGGCAAGGGGAGGCCAGCCTGGCTCTGGTGGCCTCTCCTACCCAGAGCACTCCATCATCCCCATCCCTACCTCCAGCTCTCTCTCTCTCTCTCTCTCACACACACACACACACTTGCTGCCTCCTCCACCCCTCCTCCCAGCTCCTCACACACCCAAGTGGTTCCAGGAGACCCCCAGGCTGGGGTCACATGTCCCAGCACTGGTGTGGGCACAGGGCAGAGCTCCAGTGTGGCAGTTCTCCCTGTAGCCACAGCCCCTGCCAGCAGGTCCCATCCCACCCTGTTTGGGGTTGGGCACACAGGGTGTGAGATGTGTGGGGGGATGTTGGGTTTGGGGAGAAGGGGTGTGGAGGGTGGGTGTGGGGTTTGAGCAGGGGTTTGGAGGGGTGTGGGGTTTGTGAGTATGGGGTTTGTGGCTGGGTATGTTGATGCACATCCCCTGCATGCAGTGCTGGAACCTCAGGTGACAGCAGGAAGAGCCCAGTTTTGGTTGAGGGCATGCGCGAGCAGGCTGGGTCAGTGTGGTGCCATGTGGCACAGGTGGTGCCAGGTTCCAAGTGGCTGGGACTGTGCCATGCTTCTGGGGGGCTCTGCCAGTCAGTAGTGGGCTATGAGCACTGGGACAGCTGCTGCTGCTGCTGTGGGTGGGGGGGAGCTCTGTACCACACAAGGGGGAGTGGG